GAATTGGCTCTCAGTATTCTTTGTTTATTTTCTTTCTGAGATTGACAGTTCCTTGCTTCTTGTGTTAAGTTTGGTCTCAATTTTCTCTTATGTCCTCCTGTGTGGATCCCACCAGAGGATGGACATAAAGAAACTTGATTTATGGAAAACAGTAAACTAAACAGGATCGATTTTTTTTTTTTTTAATATATTTGTCTTGCACTTTTTGTTGTTTTTTTTTTCTTTTTTTTATTATTTTTTTTAGTCATAATACTAATTGTAAAAATTAACTTTTTTATTTAAAAAAACAAAAACATTTAATGAAAATGGACGTTAGTGAATTATCTGATAAAGATTGGTTTACAAACTGCTTAGGGCTGACAGCTAGATCTCGATGAAAGTCTTTCAACCACGACATACCTGATGCAGTCCATTCATGTACTTGTAAAATCTGCAATAACATAGTAATGTTATCTACCTATTTTTTTAAAATGGTGGTGGATGTCATGATTCACTTGGTACCAATATGGTTTCCTTAATCAGGTGGCTTAGCTTTTGGATTAAACGTAGGCCATCTCCACAGCATGGCCAAGTCTTTCACATCTTTCTTTCCCATGTCAATTTCACAACTTGTAAAATCTATGATGCCCAACTATAAATATCTGTTTTCATTTAATAGAATACTTTTTAAAAGTATTTTTTTTTATTCCTGTCTTTCCCACATTTTTTGAAAATTTCTAAATGTGTTATGTTCTCTTTCTCGGGGTCTTTTAATGGATCCTTCTACTTCAAGATCCAATCTCTTCAATATAGAGTGAATTCCATACATATTCACAACCTAGAAGGATTGATTAACTTTGATGGTTGCAAATATGTTTGTGAATCTCTCTTTCTCTTGTCTACAATAATACATGTCTGCTGTTTAGACAAGGTCTGTCTGTCTGCTTCAGGGTGCGAAACAATGGCCAAACATCGGATTTCTTCATTAAAATTTTTCTTATGCCCAACCAAACTTTATGCCAGAAAGAAAGTTTTGTCTGGACATTGTTTGACCAAATAAATTTACAAACTTTTTTGTCTTCAGAATTCTGTAAGAACAAGTTATATAGTTCAATAAAATTCGAAAAAATCCTGTCATTCCCATTTTGTTTCCATTGTACTTTAAAAGAATAAAATTTCATTGCTCTTGTATTGTGTGTTAAACATATACGCATGCATCTTGTTAGTTAACACTTGAGGTTATTTGGAAATTGGAAATGCTTGTGAGTTACAAATGTAAGGTTACATAAGATGGAAGAAAGAAAAGAATAAAAAAAAAAATGAAACCTGAAAAGATAGACTGTGCTGGTAAGCTTTAGGTAATTTTACAAAATCAGTTGCCATTAAGTTGTAATTCAAATATTAAGTTTAATGTTCATGACAAGAAATGGAAAGTTTTTTTGTTTTTTTTTATTCTAGTAGAAAGAGGCAGTCATTGAAAGTTTAAAAAAAAAAGTGTTATCAAATTGGTTACTTGTCATTCTGTGGATAATTCAAGTGAAAAAAAAAAATTAATTGCATATTTTAAGATC